CAAAGGAGTTCTGGTTGGACTTGAGGAAAGTGAGCAAAATAAAATATGCTTAAGTAAAACAGAAAAATATGTGAGGTATGACCCATCTATGCCTATTTTGTTAAGAGTTTTTATCATAAAAGTGTGCTGGATTTTGTGAAATACTTTTTCTGCGTCTCTTGAGAGAATCATATGGTCTTTGTTCTTGCTTTTATTTATATGGTGTATTACGTTTACAGATTTGTGTATGTTGAACCATCCCTGCATCTCTGGGATAAAGCTCACCTGGTCATGACGAATTATTTTTTTGATATGCTGTTGAATTCGGTTTGCTAAGATTTTGTTGAGAACTTTTGCATCTATATTCATAAGGGATATTGGTCTGTTGTTTTTTTTGTTGTGTCCTTTCCTGGCTTTGGTATCAAGATGATACTACTGGCTTCATAGAATGAGTTGGGGAGGATTCCATCCTTCTCAATGTTGTGGAATAATTTCTGTAATATAGGTAAGAGCTCTTCTTTGTAAGTTTGGTAAAATTCAGGGGTGAACTCATCTGGTCCTGGACATTTTTTATTAAAAGATATTTTATTGCTGCTTCAATTTCTGTTCTTGATATTGGTCTGTTGAGGAATTCTATTTCTTCCTGATTGAGCCTAGGGAGGTTGTGTATTTCTAAGAATTTGTCCATTTCCTCCACATTTTGTAGTTTTTGGGCATAGAGATTTTTATAATATTCAAAGATGTTTTATTTCTGTGATATCTGTTGTGACCTCTCCTTTTTCATTTCTAATTGAGTTTATTAGAGTCCTTTCCTTTCTAGTTCTTGTCAATCTAGCTGTGAATTTTGTTTATTTTTTCAAAAAACCAACTTTTGGCTCAAAATTATTGAAGTCATATATGATAAGCCCACAGACAATATTATACTAAACAGGGAAAAATTGAAAGCATTCCCACTTAGAACTGGAACCAGACAAGGCTGCCCACTAACTCCACTTCTATTCAACATAGTGCTGGAAGTCCTTGCCAGAGGAATCAGACAAGAGTGGAGAATTAACAGTGTCTAAATGGCGGCAGAAGAGTCAAACTTTCACTGTTTGCTGATGGTATTATATCTAGAAAATCCCAAGGATTCAACCAAGAGACTCTTGGAGCTGATAAATGAATTCAATAAAGTCTCAGGATACATTTATGCACACAAATCAGTGGCATTCATATACGCCGATAACAGGCGAAAATCAAATCGAAGACTCAACACCTTTTGCAAGAGCATTAAAGAAAATTAAATATTTAGGAATATATTTAACTAAGGAGGTGAGAGACCTATATTGGGAGAACTATGTAACACTGAGAAAAGAAACTGTGGAAGATGTAAACAGATGGAAAACCCTACCATGCTCATGGGATTGGTAGAATCAAGATTGTTAAAATGCCCATACTACCTAAAGTCATCTACAGAATTAATGCAATCCCTATCAAAATACCATCATCATTCTTTGCAGATCTAGAAAAAATAATTCTACACTTTGCATGGAACCAGAGAAGACCTCGTATAGCCAAAGCAATCTTAAGCAAAAAGAACAAATTGGGAGGCATCAGTCTACCAGACTTCAAGCTTTACTACAAGGCTATAGTAACCAAAACAGCATGGTACAAGAACAGAAAACAAGAACAGAGACATAGACCTTTGGAACAGGACCATCCTCATATTGTCATCTAATCTTTGACAAAGCAGACAAAAATATACACTGGGGAAAAGAATCTCTTTTCAATAAATGGTGCTGGGAAAACTGGATAGCTACATGCAGAAGACCGAAACTGGATCCACACCTCTTACCTCTCACAAAAATCAATTCAAGATGGATAACAGACTTAAACCTAAGGCATGAAACCTTAAGAATTCTAGAAGAAAATATTAGGGAAACTCTTATAGACATCAGTCTAGACAAAGAATTTATGAAAATGACCTCCAAAGAAATCACAGCAGCAACAAAAATAATAAAAGAGACCTGATCAAATTAAAAAGCTTCTGCACAGCCAAGGAAACTATCATTAGAGCGAATAGACAACCTACAGAATGGGAGAAAACATTTGCATGCTACACATCAGATAAAGGGCTGATACAAGAATCTATATAAAGCTTAAGAAAATTAACAAGAAAAAAATCAAACCACTCCATCAATAAATGGGCAAAGGAAATGAATAGAAACTTCTCAAAAGAAGACAGAATAATGGCCAGCAAACATATAAAAAAGTGCTCAACATCTCTAATCATCAGGGAAATACAAATCGAAACCACAATGAGGTATCACCTAACCCCGGTGAGATTGGCCTCTATCAAAAAAACACAAAACAACAAATGCTGGCATGGATGGGGAGAGACTGGAATACTCTTACGCCACTTGGGGCACTGCACTGCAAATTAGTACCTCTGTGGAAAGAAATTTGGACATAGCTCAAAGAACTAAAAATAGAAATACCATTTGATCCAGCAATTCCTCTACTAGGCATCTACCCAAAGGAAAAAAAGACACTTTACAATAAAGACATCTGTACTCGAATGTTTATGGCAGCACAATTCACAATTGCAAAGATGTGGAAACAACCCAAGTGCCCATCAGTACATGAGTGGATTAATAAAATGTGGTATATGTATACCATGGAAAACTACTCAACCATAAAAAACAATGGTGAACTAGCACCTCTTATATTATCCTGGGCAGAGTTAGAGCCCATCCTTCGAAGTGAAGTATCACAAGAATGGAAAAACAAGCACCACATGTACTCACCATCAAATTGGTACTAACTGATCAACACTTAGGTGCTCACATGGAAGTAGTATTCATTAGGTGCCAGGCAGGTGGGAGCGGGGTGGTGGGGTTGGGTAAACTCACAACTGACGGGTAAAAGGAGTACACTGTATGGGGGATGGGCATGCTTGTAGCTCTGGCTTAGACAAGGCAAAGGCATTATATGTTACCAAATTTTTTGTACCCTCATAATATTCTGAAATTAAAAAAAAAAGTCAAAATTAAAAGAAAACAAACAGAAAAATCTAGCCCTGTAATCTAAATAATTACTGATTAATCCTTTAAAAAGTCATCTCAGTTAAACATATAGAAATTAGTTCTACTTAATAACATCTTCTATGATTACTGAGAGGGCTGGCCCTTATTAAATAACATGAAATAGGCCATTTTCCTTATATGTACATTTAGCTACTTTCACTGAATATAGAAGTCTTCATCCAGAAACAACCTGGTATAATTTACTGCATTTAGTTGTGATTCCAAAGCCCTTGCTTTTCCCACTATGCCATAAATGGGGAAATATATCAATCACTCTGGGCAGTAACTTTACACATATTATTAATATCTCATTTATTCCTTACTAAAACTTTGAACAGAAGTGCTACCCTTGCCAGCTGAGAAAAAAACACTAAGAGGTTAATTAGCATGCCCAAGGTCACACATGTCATACATAGCAGGGGCTACAGTGTTTGAATCCAGGTTGGCCTGGCACCAAAGTATTGAGATTCTGAAATACTACTAGCTCATCTTTCTTTTAAATAATAGAATAACAGAAAAATTTTTCCCCATATTTAGACTCTTTTCTGAACTAATAATACCAAGATAACTAAGACTCAGAAAATGTTTTAAACACTTAGTTATAAAGTTTAAACATACAGTACTAAGGACAAAACAGAGAGGAAAAGAAAGGCATTAAATTGTAGTGAGTTTTCTTTAGGCTGGGAAAAATCTCATGATGAATAAACCAAGAAAGAAAAGCTAACACCTGACATATCAAGAAGAATGCACTTGTGGAATCCCAAGCCAGACTGGTTTTGTGCGCGCGTGTGTGTGTGTGTGTTTTGTGCCTGTTAAAAACAACCAAAACAGGTGTTTCAACTACAACTTTGTGAAACACAAATGAACAAGTACAGACAAGTATGTGAACAAGCACAAAGTTCTCTTAAGTCACACTCAGGAATGGTATGGTGAGGCCGGGTGCGGTGGCTCACGCCTGTAATCCTAGCACTCTGGAAGGCCGAGGTGGGTAGATTATTTGAGCTCAGGAGTTCGAAACCAGCCTGAGCAAGAGCGAGACCCCGTCTCTACTAAAAATAGAAAGAAATTACTCGGACAACTAAAAATATATAGAAAAAAATTAGCCGGGCATGGTGGCACATGCCTGTAGTCCCAGCTACTCGGGAGGCTGAGGCAGAAGGATTGCTCGAGCCCAGGAGTCTGAGGTTGCTGTGAGCTAGGCTGACACCACAGCACTCACTCTAGCCTGGGCAAAAGAGTGAGACTCTGTCTCAAAAAAAAAAAAAAAAAAAAAAAAAAATGGTATGGTAAATTTATAATTTTCCTTATTCTTTGTTTTATCACAGTATTACTGAATTAGCTAATAATGCAGATTTATTAATGTATTTCTTTAGTTTATTCACCACTTATTAACAGCAGAAGTCCAAGACCAGCTTTAAATTATAGGAATGTGGCTTACACATTTATATCAGAAAGATTTTCTGTAGGTTTATCATTAGACAGCCTCACATTTACAAAGATTAAATGATTTAAAATGTTTGTACTAAGAATTTACCCAAATGGTTATAAATGACTACAAAAAATTAACATGGAAGCTTTAAACATTAGGGTTTTACAACCCAATGTTATTTCAAAAATCCTTTTACCTAGATCATAAAAAAGGTATTAGGAAGCAAATCCTAAATATAAAAATCAAGATATATTTTATAAAAAAAGGTATATTTTTGTTTCAATTAATAATGAAAAATATTTATCATAGCAAATATTTATCAAAAATATTTACCATAGCAAATGCCCTTAGTGCAACTCAAATTTTAGAAATAAAACTAATTCAAAAATTTATATATGTACTGCTTTAATCTTTACCAATCAAATAATGTTCAATTTTTCAGTAATACATGCTACAGGTTAAGATTTTTTTAAATGACCGATCTTTCGCCTAGTCTCCCATGGACAGGTAAACATTAGAGATCTTACCTTGTGCTGTTCAATGGCATCTATCCACTGCTGTCGATGATCTGGATCCTGAGCACGAAGATACCAAACGCTATCATTTACACTAATATCAAATCGACATTCATCAAAATCATGAGGCTGTGGAGAAAAGGTAGAAAATCAAAAGAAAAGCTAATTATATTCTTAGAAGTGTTATAACCCACAGGCAAAACATAAACAGACTCATCCTATGCTGGTGGGATACTTGCTATTTTTTATTTTCCTACTCAAATAACTTCTCTGAAGATGTCTCAGATAAGAGAGAACAAGGGCGTAGTTACCAAACCCAACTTTCATTCACTATTCCTACAAATAAGTTGACACAGAAACTACAAACATCTATCTCAAAAAGACAAAGCTAATATTTTTTATCAAAGGCTTTGAATTAGCTTAACTAGTAAGAATACCACCAAAAGAATAATTTTTTAAAAGGCCAAAATAAGTTTTAGGAAAGACATTTACTACTTTTTCCTTGCCCCACTATTCAAAAGTAAATTCCCAGTGTGAATAGTTTCATTAGATTTGATAAACAAAATATTCTTGATAAAATAACATTAACATTTCCCTTCAAGTATCTAAAATTAACTTCTAGGCTTATTCATGTCTTTGATAGTTACAGGCAGGAAGGCTTCCAGTGAAAAGCAAAACTAAAATGAGTATTACATAAGGCCTATGTGAGATAGCTAGAGGAAACTCTCTGCACCAAAGTGTAAACATCTAGTGAAAATGTCAACTTTTTGATTTAGTGCTTTTGAATCTTCATAAAAATATATAAAATGAAATGTTTTATATCCTTGTTTTTCCTCTAATAAATGAATTCAAATATGACAAGATCACATCACATTTACCATCTCTTTTCCAGATAGAACAGTCTATCAATTTCTACTCCAATCTTAGCCTTGGAGGGGAAATGATCCTCTCTGATCAATGTAACAATAAAATTTGCTGAACAGAATCTACATCTTGTACTTTAGTGTTTATTCTCTTACACTTTTAACATCAATCTTTGATCTCTTTGTCAGTTTATTTAGCAAAAATAATGTAAAGTAACTCCATAGTGCTCTTCAGCCTATGAAACAATTTCTCTTTTAGGATTAAGACAAGAAATCATCATTCTGACTGGCTAAAGGATACAAGTTTAATTATGAATACGGAAAGACATAAAAGATGTTTAACATTCATAAAGAAAATAATGATCATAAATTTAACTAAATACTAAATATTCAGAAATCTTCAGAAATCTAGTTATTAAGAATAGCTTCTTGGAGGAAATGAAACATATGTACTATCTGAAGAACCAAGCAAACTAAAGTAGGTGATGAGTAGCCCAGAGGTTTTTAACATATCAACTGCCATGTGAGTTGTATTTTTTTTTATTTCAGCATATTATGGGGGTACAAATGTTTAGGTTATGTATATTGCCCTTATCCCACCCGAGTCAGAGCTTCAAGCGTGTCCATCCCCCAGACGGTGCGCATCGCACCCATTAGGTGTGTATATACCCATCCCCCTTTTCCCCTGTCCCATTTGCCTGACACCTGATTAATGTTATTACTATATATGCACTTAAGTGTTGATCAGTTAATATCAATTTGATGGGTGAGTACATGTGTTGCTTGTTTTTCCATTCTTGGGATACTTCCATGTGAGTTACATTTAACTCATGCTAGTTTTGAGGCTGGGACCTTGTGAAGCATATGTAACTTACGTCTCTTCACCTTGGGAGCACAAGAACTATTTTTCAAGTTGTATATAACTCATACACAGAAAACAATAAAAAATAACAAATTTTTCATTAAATTAGAAAGTACTGTTTTGTTTTCGAAGTTTTTATTCTATTTTCACAATGAAACATTGTGGTCCCAAGGAAAAAAATTTTTTTTCTAGTGTGGCAGTCAATGTATTAAACTTTTGCTCCATGATCATTCTCAATATATTTCCAGCCACTATTCCTGAATATGCTTTATATTTTGTATTGTGTTCAATATACTCACTAAAGCTCTAGAAAAATAAAAGGAAGTAACACATATAATCCATAATTTTCTATTTTTTCTAGCAAATACTTTTCTTTGCACACAAGGGAGCCTTTTCTACCATCAACAATCTGAAAAATAGGTGGCATAGAAGAGAGAAGCACCAACTGTCAAGTGATACAGAAAATCTGTGAACAACACAGAAGTCTTAAATCCTAACAAAGTAAAAAAATGACAGAAGCCAAGTCTCAAGGCAAAGGAAATGACAGATTTGGTTAAAAGGATGTGATTAAGAGAATAAATTGAAGTGAAGATTATAAAGCTCACACCATCTTATTATACACACACACACACACACACGTGTGCGCACACACACATGTTCCCAAACATAACATATAGATTGCTTCATTCAAAGACAACTGATCCTGTATTTACTTAAAATGTTGATATTTTATTCATTATGTATTAATTTCATTTAAAAATACTGCAATAAAATATTTATCTTGAATACTTAGTTTTTTAATGCTTGTTTAAATTTTGTAATTGAGGCAAGCCCCTCATGGGTCTCACCCAAGTCTTGGCACTGACAGGTAATTATTAGAAAGAAACAAACATGTGATGAAGGCCAAAACTAGCTTAAAAAAACTTGGAGAGATGGTAGATATAAGACGTGACCTAAGGGGGAAAAAAATGTTAAAGAAGTGTTAAGGCAACAGGTGATGAAAAGTAAGCTAACAAAGGTAAGAAAAAAGAAATAGCGTTGAAAACCATATCAGAAGCAGGAATAAAAAGCAAACTAGGCTAAAAAAGTCATGGGCATGGTAAACAGATTTGAAAAAAGCACAAAATAAAAGAAATATTATAATAGGAAGACAAAGGAGATAAAGCAAATACATTAACTGCTGTTTTCAAAGATGAGAATATAACAAATGTAACAGAAAGACATACTATGCCCAGGAAAAAGAGACATGAAAAGATCAGTACAAAGATATATTCTATGAAGTTAGTTGATTTCATGAATAAAGGAAGTGCTATATAGAACAATGTTTCTCAAGCATTTTGCAATATAACACTCTACCCTCCAGAAATGAAATACTAAGGAATATGATTTTGTTTGACAGAATTTTGGGAGGCCATAAAACATTGTACTACCTAAGATTTCATTCCTCCAAGAACCAAGTGTCACTACTCCAGAGAATGCATGCTTCAGAAGAAAGCTATCTATAAAAAGGTGGGCTTCACACTTTATCATGTCAACATTTATTGTTAAGGATAAAATATATTTCAAAATGTAAAATGAATACATGGCATTTATATCTACTATCTACCAAAATAACCTTATAGGAACAAAAGAGGCATACATATACAAAGTATTGTGGCTATCCACCTACCACCATGCAATAATATTAGAGGCCCCACTCTTCACCCCCTGGAGAGATTAAATCAGACATTCCTATACAGCATAGGGTAGTAGAGGATGCTATGCCTGGAGAGGGGGACAGGGAAGCAGATAAAGAAAGCCTTCATATTAGAGGTCTCCCTCCCCTTCTCGGCACCCAGAAGGCTAGAACCCATACTTTCTCCTTCTGCTTGTAAGGAAGATCGTTCTATGAAAAGTTTAAGTAATCCAAGACAAAAGGCATATAGTAACGATATTTGAGGTTTTCACACCCAGGTGCTTTATCAGCACGAAAGTTCTAAACTGTGAAAATAAAGAAAAATCTACCTTTCGGCATTGGAAGATAGCTTCACCAAAATGAGGGTGTAATCAAGAGGGATAAGAGACAATTGAGAGCCAAAGAAGAATGCAACGCAGGAGAGAAGCAAAGGGACTTCCCAGGTAGATAATAAGGTAAAATACCAGCAAAAATGCAGAAAGTCCAAAAGTCTAGATTAGAGGAATATGATAGGTGGCTTCAGAAAGCATTTTCTTAGTGGGAGAAAAAGTAGAATGGAAAGATTATCTAAAAGATTGAACTCAGTGGACAGGGTGTAGGAAGACTTAGCTATAAATTTAAAAAAAAAGCCAACCAAATTTTTAATGAACTTTATTGAGATATAATTACCATACAACAATCAATTTAAAGTATATAATTCAATAAGTTTCTTCATTTGTATATAACCCATGAAATCATTGCCACAATCGAGCTGGAAATGTTATCATTTCCATCACCTCCAAAAAAAATCCTCATGCTCCCCTGCGCAAGTTTCCTTCCCTTTGCTACCAGCTTCAAGAAACCAAGGACCTAGTTTCTTTCACTATACATTAGTTTGCCTTTTTAATAATTTTATGTAAATGGAATCAAATAATATGTACGCTTTTGTGCCTGTTTTTGCTCAGTATGACAATTTTAAGATTCATCCATGTTTTGTCCTATCAGTAATTCATTCTTTTTTTTGTTTGTTATTCTTCTTTTTTCCAGAGATACCCTGAGCCAGAAAGTAATGCATTCTTTTTATTGCTAAGCAGAATTATACTGGGGATAACATATTTTGCTTATTCATTCACCTGTTGATAGATTGCTGTTTCTAGTTTTTGGGTATTCTGAATAAATTTGCTATGAAAATTCATGTCTTTATATGAACATAAAACTTGATTTCTTTTGACCTATTATTGGTATGGCCAAGTCATATAGTAGGTATATATTTAACTTTAAGGAAATGTCAAAAGTAGTTGTACCATTTTATAGTCTCACCAGTGGTCTATCAAAGTCCAGTTACTAGACATCCCTGCTTGAGTTTACTTCTAGACTCTATTCTGTTCAACTGATCTAAATGTCTATTCTTACTCCAACACACTGTCTTAATTATCGTTCTTAGTAGTCAGTCTTGAAATCAGGTAATGTAAGTGCTCAGACTTTACTCTTCTTTTTAAAAATTGCTTTGGTTAGTCTAGATAGTTTTCATATACATATACATTTCCAGCAACATTTTAGTATCAGGTTGCACTGATTTCATACATTTTCTATAGATTAATGTGGGAAGATGTACTATCTTAACAATACTGAGCCTATAGATCCCTAAGGTTCTGTTAAAAACAAAACCAAAATCTCTCTGTTGTAAAGAACAAATAACTTCTTTTGATCTATAGTCAAAATTCTGATTATTTTCTGTCAGCTCTATCTG